ATTTATTTTATTTTATTTATTTATTTTTGAGACAAGAGTCTCACTTTGTTGCCGGGCTAGATTGCCATGGCGTCAGCCTGGCTCACAGCAACCTCAAACTCCTGGGCTCAAGGATCCTCCTGCCTCAGCCTCCCGAGTAGCTGGGACTACAGGCATGCGCCACCATGCCCGGCTAATTTTTTCTATATATATTTTTAGTTGTCCAGCTAATTTCTTTCTATTTTCAGTAGAGATAGGTCTCCCTCTTGCTCAGGCTGGTCTGGAACTCCTGAGCTCATACAATCCTCCTTCCTCGGGCTCCCAAGTGTAGGATTACAGGTGTGAGCCACCTGCCCGGCCTATTTTCCTTTTTCTATCATGGCCATCCTAATGGGTGTGAGTATAAACACTTTTTGATAATAGGTGTTTATCTCTTCATATGCTTTTAAACATATTTTTATCAGTACCTTGAAATAAAGATCTAGCTCATTCAATTCATGGAAAAGTCCCTCATCTACCCTCTTGCAAAGCCAAAATAGAACTTTCACAAAAAGCCTGACTTCATTCTTGGTTCCAATAAACGCATGGCTTGCATGTCCCATGACAACCACATTCCCTTCCCATTCTAACCTAAGATGGCTGCCTCGTTTCTAATGCTTCGTCTAGAGCAGAAATATATATTCACTTCTTATTGTTGCTGTAACAAATGACCGCAAACTGATGGCTTAAAACAACATCAATGTATTATTTTGCAGTTTTGGAGGTAAGGAGGGTGACGGGGTCCCACTGGCTAAATCAAGGTGTCAGCATGGCTACGTTCTTTGTGAAAACTCTAGAGAAAAATCCATTTCCTTGCCTTGAGCAGCTTCTAGAGACCGCCCACATTCCTCGGTGCTTAGAACTTTTTCTCCACCTTCAAAGCCAGCAGTGGACAATGCAGTCTTCCTCACACTGCGTCACTCTGACACTGACCTTCCTGCCTCCCTCTTTCACTTATAGGGATTCTTACAGGACATTGGGCACATCTGAATAACCCAGGACACTACCCCCATCTCAAAATTCTTTTTTTTTTTTCTTTAATAGAGACAGGGTCTTGCTATGTTGCCAGCCTACCAGGAACTCCCAGCCTCGAGGATCCCCTGCCTCAGCCTCCTAGTAGCCATCTCAAAATTCTTAGTCACATCTTCAAAGTCCCCTTTCCATGTAAGTAAACTACACACAGGCTCCGATTATCTTGGTGGGGTTTTGGGGGGACATTAGTCTGGCTACCACACCAGAGAAAGACACAGCGTCTCTCTCAGGAGATGTGATGGTTTAATTATTAAAAGAGGCTTGCTGACACCAATATGTGAGTGACTCTTCTGTTTGGGGCCGAGGTGATGATGTACCACTCCTACTCCTAGAAAGGAGCAGAAGTGTGATCACTGGGGAAGTGAAAGACAGAAAACACTGCATGAGGCTTCCACCTCAAGCCAGTAGATTAATTAAAGAATGTGTAAAAATTTGAGAATCTGGAAAATTATTTCCTTAAAAATTTGTGCCAAGTATCTCCTAGCAAAGTCTTCATCCTTTGTTGAAGCCGCGTGATCTTGAATTTAGACAGCAACACTTACAACCAAGGGTCACTCTAGAGGTGCCCCCCAGAGTAGGTGTCCCCTACACAGTTCCTCCATGTCATACTGTAACTGCATCAAACCAATCTGGTTCAACTTTCTATAACAAAGTTTTGAGTTGTGTTTTCAGTTGCCATGGAACCCAAGTTGAATGCGTGTAAGCTGAGCATGCCCAGACGAACCAAGCCTGCCACCAGGGGCGGAACCTAAGTGCTTGGTCCAAGGAGCGGGACTGATGAGAAATGGACAGCGCGTGCGGCAGGATCCAGGTCCAATCAGATCGAGCCCTGGTGTCAACTGGTGGCGGATCCAATCGGATCATGCTTCCTGACATCACATCACTGCAAGAACCAATCAGATCATGGCTCATTACCCTCTGGCTATAAAACCAGCCCAACCTCATCACCCCATCTTGTTCTGGAACACACTGTTTTGGGAACTGTCCTCCGTGTGATCCTTGCTTGTATAGAGTGACACCTCCCCTTGCTGTAACCAGCTTGGCTGTGTCTGTTGGCCTGACACCTGCCAAGCTAGCGAACCCCTCCGTTTGGGCGTAACAATACCTGACTTACTCCCCAACTCGGCCTCCATGGCTGCTGCTACCAATCAATGAATTCTCTCTTCCCTCGTTCTTTTAATCTCACGATTACTGTTTATTACCTTGTCTTCTACTTTAGTCCACCATAGCTTTTTTTTTTAATTTCCTTTAATATATTCAAGTAGTATGGCAAAGCATTTTCCTACATAAAACATTTTCCTCATTCTTGTATATTTTGTTTCTAAATTCTTGAGCTTTGGGTTTTTCTGTCACCAACTAGAATAAAGTGGTTTCACCTGGTAGCCAATAGACGAACCTTCAAACAGATGGTTCGTCAGATGGCCGCTCTGGGGTCAGTGGGATTAAGGGTGGCCAAGGCAAAGGAGCCTGGTGGTAAAACGAATGGCCACTTAGTGGGATGCCCAGAAGGGCAGGGACTAGGTGGGTGGTACTCAGAAACTGGAGACCCCAACCCCATACAGGCCTGAGTAGACAGTGTTGTCTTGCCTTTCTAAATTACATTCTAGATCAGGGCTATCTGGTAGAAACACAATGTAAGCCACAAATTCAAGCCACCTATGTAATTTTTTTTTTTTTTTTTTTGAGACAGAGTCTCACTCTGTTGCCCCGGCTAGAGTGCCATGGCATCAGCCTAGTTCACAGCAACCTCAAACTCCTGGGCTCAAGTGATCCTTCTGTGTCAGCCTCCCAAGTAGCTGGGACTACAGGCATGCACCACCATGCCTGGCTAATTTTATAACACACACACACACAAATATATATATATATATTTTTTTTTAGTTGGCCAATTAATTTATTTCTGTTTTTAGTAGAGACGGGGTCTCGCTCTTGCTCAGGCTGGTTTCGAACTCCTGACCTTGAGCAATCCTCCCACCTCAGCCTGCCAGAGTGGGAGGATACAGGCATGTGCCTCCCACAGGCAGTGCGGGGAATACAGGCATGTGCCACCACACCCAGCTAATTTTTTTAAATTTTTTGTAGATGTCTTGTCAGGGCTCAACTGATTAGGAATCTTGGTTCCATCTGTAAAAGCCCTTCTTCCATATAACATAACATAATGAAGGGAGTAATGCCCCCTCATGTCCACAATTCAGCTCACACTCAAGGAATGTCTTGGGATAATCAGATTAACCTGTTCCTGATGTACATTTTTATTCTACAAGTAATCATGGATCGTCTATAAATATTATGTCTGTGAAAGAATCAAAATGGAGTCATTAATGTTAAAAAAGAAAAAAAACATAGCCAATAGAGTCGGGGAAGGCCATGAAGAGAGAGTTCTCACACTTGTTTTCCTGATAACAAAAACCACAATCTCGCACAAAGACCATGACAATGTTACACAAAAATACATCTGCAAGGACTTCTGCCCAGCAACTGCCTGTCCAACCTCAGGCTGCTGTCACCCTTGTTGTTGCTCCTTGTAGCCGAGGACTATTATTTCAAAACAATTATACAATCCTCCTCACTTTTTCCCTTTAAAATCCTTTGACTTCCCTTTCCTCCCTGAATTTGCACATATTAATTATTTACTCCAGTATGTATATTCCCATTGCAATACCCAAGAGCCTCTCTCTGTTATTTAGGTTGACATGTCTGAGGACGAAGGGCAATAAATACTAGATCAAATATTAGATAAATACTAGATCAAATAAGACATGCTTTTTGTCTTCAAGGAGTTTATTAATATAATCTAGTAAAGACAACAAGATGACCTTGCAAAGATCTGGCATGCAAGTCAGACTGCGTTCTAGCAGGTATAATCAAAATGCTTTGGAATGAGGACAGAGAGCTTGCTTTGGCCTTGGGTGGGGGGGAGTTCAGCTCTATAGAGGGGAGGTCAAGTTCATTGGGTGAGCAGGACACCACAGGCAGAGATGCAGCAGAGGCAATGAAAAGAGATGGTGCCTGAAACAGGAAAGGGACTGTCCTTCTCAGGCAGAGGGTGTTGGCCAGGATGGGTGAGTTGTCCTTCCAGTCTGGCTGGAATGTGGAGTCAGAGAAGACAGATAAGGCTGCAAAGATTGGTTGGTGCCAGTTTTCAAGTTTGGGGCTGTACATCAGAGAAACAAACCATGCATCTATCTTAGAGGTTGACATGGCGTTAATGGAGATCAACATGTCATCATTTCTAATCTTGAAGAAAATAGATCTTTTTGCCCACACAAATGAAAAACAAAGCACTTACAAATGTTCAGCATTTGCTCTCAAAGAAGCTATTCTTTCAATTACCGTGTTTTGTGACAGTAATCATCAATCCCCGTCCACCCCCTTGCATGCTGGCTTCATTCCCTGCATAAAAATACACATAGATTTTTCATATTCAAATAGCTTCCTCCTGGCCTTCCTAGCAGTCCTATTGTGCAGTGGCTCATGCCTCTAATCCTAGCACTCTGGGAGGCAGAGGTGGGGAAGGAATGCTTGAGGTCAGGAGTTCAAGACTTGCCTGGGAGTGGTGGAACATGCCAGTAAGTCCCAGCTACTCAGGAGACTGAGACAGGACAATCAATTGAGTCTTGGAGCTGGAGGTTGCAGTGAGCTATGATGGTGCCACTGCACTCTATCCCGGAAAACATAGCAAAATCTCATTTCAAAGAGAGACAGAGAGAGAGAGAGAGAGAGAGAGAGAGAGAGAGAGAGAGAGAGAGAGAAAGGCTCACAGTACATTCTTTTCAATGGATGGTTTTAGATTGCTGTCACTTCTTCCTCACCGTGGATTATCTTTTCAACCACTTTTATTTGGCCTTTTCTCCCTACCAATTTACTAAAATTGGAATCTCAGAAATCATCACTAACCTCCCAAGAGAGAAAAACATAGTGGCTGACATAGAGAATGATCTGACACTTACAGATAAGTCTTACTGTTCTCCTGTTAGACATAAAATCTCATAGGACATCCAGGATCTCAGGTGGCAAGGGACAAGTGGCAGCGGTGATCACTTGCCAGAAGCAAGGTGGCTGGATTACCCGGATGGATAACAGTCAGCTGTGATCACAACAGCCCGACTCGCCTTGGCTAGTTGATTGTGGTATTTCTAGAAGTGAAATAGATGGGCAGTCTAATAAATTCTTCTATTGTCTGTATAATTGGAGAAGGTTTAGGTCACATGAACAAAAGTGTACCTTCAATCTAAAAAAAGTGTCATACCCCCTCCATCAACTCTTGGACTTGGCCCAGTTTACAGACCCAGAACCCCTAAATGAAGAAGAGGCTAGGGCCCCACTGAGGAAGACCCCTGCTACAGTGCCCAAAATTCATACTGTTAATCTCTCTCCCATAATCCCCCAAAGGGACTTAAGATCCTTTTCTAGAGTGACTGTGCATTGGGGAAAAGGAAATCATCAGACTTGGCAGGAACACTGGCTTTGAGCTGACACTGATTCCAAGCCACACAAAATGGCAATGTGGTCCACCAGCCAGGGTAGGGGCTTATGGAGGTCGAGTGATCAATGCCGTTTCAGCTCAAGTCTGTCTCACAGCAGACCTAGGCTGCCCTTGAAGCTATCTGTGGTTATTTCTACAGTTCCAGAATGCATAATTAAAACAGACATCCTCAACAGTTGGTGGAATTCCCACACTGGTCCCCTGACCTGTGAAGGGAGGGCTATGATAGTGGGGAAGACCAAGTGGAAGCCACTAGAATTGCCTCTACCTGGAAAAATAGTAAACCAAAAGCAATACCACCTCCCTGGAGGGACAGCAGAGATTACTGCCACCGTTAAGGATTTGAAACATACAGGGGTGGTGACTCCCACAACATTCCCATTCAACTCACCTGCTTGGCCCGTGCAGAGGACAGATGGATCTTGGAGAATGACAGCGATCATCATGGGCATAACCAAGGGGTGACTCCAATTGCAGCTGCTGTACCAGATGCGGTTTCATTGCTTGAGCCAATTGACACATCCCCTGGAGTGTGCATGTATTGATCTGGCAAATGCTTTTTTTCTCTGTCCCTGTCAATAAAGACCACCAGAAGCATTTGTTTTCAGCTAGCAAGGCCAGCGACACCCCTACACTGTCCTATGTCAGCAGTACATCAACTCTCCGGCCCTAGGTCATGATTTAGTTCACAAGGATAATAATAGCCTTTCCCTTCCACAAAATATCAGGCTAGTCTTGTAAAAGATTAAAATGTTGGCCATTTTCCACCGTGGATCTTAGCGTCAAAAATCACGGTAACACACTTTGCCCTCTTGGATCCAAAGTTGCTGCAATGCATCCCAGGAACAATACTGTGAAACATAGCATAGGGAAGACAGAAATGACTGACCTAAGTTCAAAATGACATACACAAGGCAAACAGACCTACTGTGACAAGGTGTTATAGAATTCACAAAACTATTTTTTTTTTTCACAAAACTACTGAAGGCAGCTTCACAAAGCTGAAACTTTAGTCTTGTAAGATGAGTGGGAGATTGCCAGGAATGATTAAAGATAGCTGCAAATTCTTTATCTCTCCTCCCACTGAAAGGTGAAGTCTCATTCACTTCCTCCTGAATCTGGGCTGGCCTTAGTCATTTGCTTAACCAACATCACGTGGCAGAAGTGACATTCTAGAACTTCCAAGGATGGGTCATAAGGCTTTCAGCATCTGCCTGATATTCTCAGAACACTCTGACAGCCCAGAGCTCCCATGTAAGCTCATTATCCTGAGACTGCCACGCTGGGGAGGCTACGTGTAGGTACTCTGGTTGACAGTCCCAGCCGAGGCCAGCCTTCCCTCATGCCTGTTGACATGCCAGACATGTGAATGACTCTTTTAGATTCTCTAGGGCAGCCCATCTGCCAGTTGAATATCACCAAATGACCTCTTCAATACCAACAGAAGAATCACCCAGCTGAGCCTTGCCCCAGTGCCTGAAAATGCCTGACCCACAAAATCACATTTAAGAAAGATGGTTTAAGTTACAGCTTGTTATGCCGCAAGACAGTGATATGTCCAATCCTGCCTTCACCGTGCTTTCCACCTGTTCTTTCTCCTATAGCCCCCAAACTCCAAATCCTATATAATCTCCTTTTTGAAGCCTTCTTCATTTTCCCAACAACAGGGCACTTCTGCCTCCTCTGAACTTTACTTTTACCTGTCTAATAATGTATAACTAGGGTAGTGGCAATGTCCCATTTGTTTGGGACAGTACTAATTTCTATCATTTCAAATAGTGCTCCCTTTCACTCTTGACAGTGCCCCATTTTAATCAACACATCACATGGTTATCCTGTGCTTGATTTTGCCCTGTTATTTGCATAGAAATGTTTCTATAATTTACTTGAAAACAAGTATTGTGTCTTTCCTTCAATAAATATCTACTGAGCACCTACAATGTGCCACATATTGTACAATGTGCTCTCTGGCATGTCAATATATTGCTCAGTGCTTCGGGTAATAGAGGCTGTTAGGACACATCACCTCAAGGGCTGCACTGGCTTGAAAACTGAAGAAAATGCAAATGAGAGATTATTTTCATGTTGGTTTACTATAGAACCAGTTCACAGGCAGCACAAAGGATACATGAGATCAAGAACACATGGATATGAATGTTAGAACCTTCCTTTTCCCGACAGAGGTGCACCTCAAGGTCAGATTCAGTGCAGACTGAGAAACCCACCAGGATGGTGGTGCCCAAACCCTTGGCCTCCTCTGTTTTAGGGGGAGGAAGACGAAAGTGGCTACATCAGTCATGCCCAGGTTTGGAAATCCAATTTTCTTGCCTCACGACAAATACATAAGCTAGTTACTCATGCAATATTTTTCTTTTGTTGGCATCGGGTCTACTTAAGAAGTCAGTGCAGCTAGTGGCCATGACTAACCAGAAAGATTTTCAGTAAAAGTCTGGGCACAGTCATTCATTCCTGTAATCCTAGTACTCTGGGAGCCCAAGGTGGGAGGATCACTCAAGGTCAGGAGTTCCAGGCCAGCCTGAGCAAGAGCGAGACCCCATCTCTACTAAAAATAGAAAAAATTAGCTGGGCATGGTGGTGCAGGCCTGTAGTCCCAGCTACTCAGGAGGCTGAGGCAGGAGAATTGCTTGAGCCCAGGAGTTGGAGGTTGCAGTGAGCTGTGATGGTGATGCCACTGCATCTAGCTGGGGTGACAAAGCAAGACTCTGTCTCAAAACAAAACAAACATTTTCAGTGAAGGCTTAATGAAAGAATTCAGTAGTATTGTATCACTAATGAAAACCATGGAAAACTTTAACTAGCTTACCTAGCAGGTAAAGGCTAATTAATGAAAATAAAATGCTAAAAATCTAAATGATTTCTAGGCTGTTCTTCCAACTCACCATTAATTTATTAAACGTTTCTTTTATACCTCTGGTCTTTACTTTTAGAAGAGAAATCTCTGCCTGAAGTGGTGGTGTGTGCTTGTAGTCCCAGCTACTTGGGAGGCTGAGGCAGGAGGATTGTTGGAGCCCAGGACTTGAGGCCAGCCCAGGCAACATATCAAGACCATGTCTCTTAAAACAAACAACAACAACAACAACAACAACAACAACCTGGTACCAATTAAATTGATAATAACAAATTTTAGAAGAAGAAAAGACTGATTTTATTTTCAAATTTTCAGAAGTTTTCAGAAACAGTAAAATGACAAGAACACACAAAAATATTGACATTGTTCACTGAACTATAAAACTCTTGGCAGAGAAAGGGACTTTTGAAGTACCTGAATCCACCTCCTTCTGAAAGCAGGAATCACTTCTAAAATGTCCCTCATACATTTAACCAGCTTCCTCAAATCTTTCCCAAGTTTGATGTACTTCATCTTATAAAAATAATACAAACCATTTTTAATAAAACAAAAGAAAGAATACAACACAGAAGGCAGGTCTCTTGTGTTACATGCTTTTAGAGAAAGGTCACATCCTTGAAGCAGCTTTGTAATACACAGAGCACAGTACTGGCTTCAAAAAATACACAAAGATTCTGTGCACTTGCATTGTTTAAATATGAAGAGCTGCCTTCATCTTCCTCTATAAACACTGGCAAGCTATATCCATTCAAGTACATTAACCTAATTGTATTTCACATAGTTTTCATACTTGGGATGAGGCAAGGCTAGACAGCAAAAAACAAACTAGCACAGAGCTGTTAATAAAAAAACTTTAAAATACTGTGATATGTGATCAAATGAAAATCAATCCCGGATGACACAACAAATTTCCGATTACATAAATAAATTCTATTACGTACTACGAATTTCCACTATTGGAAGATCCTTATTAAAATAAAGAAGTACATAAAACTGGAACAGATACCCAACTTCATATACTGAAAAAAAAAACAAAAAAAAAAAAAAAAAAAAAAAAAAAAAAAAAAATAAAACTGGAACAGGAAATAAACGTATTTGGTTTGATTCGGAGAGTCTACGAGTCCAGCTGCCAGCCGCCCAAGCCTGGGTCCCTAACGGAGAGTGACCAGCTCTTCTGAAGAGGTAGGGTGAATGGCGACCGTGTTGTCAAAGTCGGCTTTCGTTGCTCCCATTTTCACTGCGACAGCAAAACCCTGCAGCATCTCATCACATCCAATTCCTTGCATATGGATTCCAACCACCTGGGAAAAAAAGAAAAATTTTACAAGTGAAATTATGACATGTCTAATCACAATATGGTGTAACACAGCCTACATGGCTCCGTGTACTCCTGCCTCGACTTCCCCTCCAGGCCTCCCCAACCCATCGCATCCAGCTCTCCCCTCAGGCTCTTGCTCTGGCCTTGCGCAGCCCCTTCCTTCTGTCCCAAGCACCCGCCGCACTCTTACGTTCAAGATGTCCCTCCACCTGGACAGTCTTTCCTTCCCTCTTACAGCTACACAGTTGTGCCTTCCTGACCAAGTTGAATTCTCCGTCAGTGATCTCTCAGTACCAGCATTTTTCCTTCATGGTTCTATCACAGAAGCAAGGTCCCATTTTGGGCAGAAACTAGACAATTACGGTCCATCTCTCCCAGCAGGATTTCATCACCAGACGGAGGTGGTCCATGCTGCTTTTGCTCTGTACTCAGTCTTCGTGGCTGAGCACAAAGACTGACACTCGGGAGGTGCTCAGTCCATACATGCCGGTCGGCTACCAGAATGATCGTAAAGACCCATTTGTTTCAAATCACATTCTCCAGTGAGGTTTCTCAATATATTTAAGAACTTTGTTCATGTTTACCTTCAGCAAATACCTTTAGGGTAACTATTCCGTCGGAAAGCAAGGTTACAGAATACAACATTTAGCCACAAAAATAATTTGTTTAGAACCAAATCAAGGCCGGGCGTGGTAGCTCACACCTGTAATCCTAGCACTCTGGGAGGCTGAGGCGGGCGGATTGCTCGAGGTCAGGAGTTTGAAACCAGCCTGAGCAAGAGCGAGACCCCGTCTCTACTATAAATAGAAAGAAATTAATTGGCCAACTAATATATATAGAAAAAAAATTAGCTGGGCATGGTGGCGCATGCCTGTAGTCCCAGCTACTCAGGAGGCTGAGGCAGGAGGATTGCTTGAGCCCAAGAGTTTGAGGTTGCCGTGAGTTAGGCTGATGCCACGGCACTCACTCTAGCCTGGGCAACAAAGCGAGACTCTGTCTCAAAAAAAAAAAAAAAAAAAAAAAGAACCAAATCAAGAATATACTTACTTAAGATGTGCAATGTTTGGGGGATGGACATGCTTGAAGCTCTTACTAGAGGGGGAGGGGGGCATGGGCAATATATGTAACCTAAACATTTGTACCCCCATAATACGTTAAAATAAAAATAAAATAAAGAATATACTTACTACTGAATATGCTTACTACTTAACAATGGTTAGGATGATAAATTTTGTGTGTTTTACGCAACAACTTTTAAAAAAGTATATCTCAATTTAAAACCAAAAATATCAAGGATTGTATATGTATTAAACACAGCCAGAGTTCTAGATACTGTCACCTAAGTTGAATCTACAAGGAACTTTGCTGATGGCGGAAACTTTGTACTATTCCTCCCTGTATTGCAGTTCTTAGTCTTTACAAGACCGTCATGTAATGCTTGTCAAATAAATGAATGAATGATGACTGGTATGAAGGAATAACTGATAGGAATAGGTAAGTTGAGACCTTGATGATTTAAAGTCCAGAAATCTTAGGCTACCAAGGAACGTTCAGGGCCAAGAAGGAGTAAGCTTGGTTTTGCCACCAACCCACTTCCCTCTCTGCTCTGATTTTCTGCTTCTGTCAACCCTCAGTGATGTTGAATTTTACAAGCCAGGGACTACATCTTGTGGCTTTTGGTATACAGGTCCACTGAATCAGACACAGATTATGCTATTTTTGATAACAGAAGTTGAAAACTACATCTAAATTTTGAATTGAGCCACTGTTCCTCAGAGAGCTATGGTCTCATGCAATATTGCTAAATTCTACTTTAATAGTTAATTCAATTAGCAGAAGCTATCCAATAGGCTGATCCAGTACCAAAGTAACTCTTATCTTTAAAATTAAAATCCATTCAAATGTTAATCTAAACCACACTGAGATATTACTTCACACCCACTGGGATGACTATAATTACAAAGATAAGATAATAACAAGTTTTGGTGAAAATGGAACCCTTGTAGATTGCTGGGAAAACAGAAAATGGCGAAGCCACCAAAAATAATTTGGCAGTTTCTCAAGAAGTTACAGAAGAAATAGATTATTTTAGGAAACTTTTTTGAATAAATTGCTTCTTCACTGATCTGTTACATTCAATTTAAATTGATCCCTTATGTTTACTAGTATTTCTGAGTTTCTTATCTATTCTGGCTTATTGGTCAACCATGGCAAGCTTCTGGTGATTTTTGATGTTTCCCCCTTATTTTTTATGTTATTTACTTAATTTTTTTGGAGACAGAGTCTCACTCTGTCGCCCAGGCTAGAGTGCAGTGGTGTCATCATAGCTCACTGCAACCTCAAATTCCTGGGCCCCAGCAATCCTCCTGCCTCAGCCTCTTGAGTAGGTAAAACTACAGGCATGTGCCACCATGCCTGGCTCATCTTCATATATTTTGCAGAGAGGGGGTCTTGCCCTCCCTCAGGCTGGTCTAGATCTCCTGGGCTTCAAGCGATCCACCCACCTTAGCCTCCCAGGGTACTACGATTACAGGCCTGAGCCATTGCAACCATCCCCACCGCCTTAATTTTTTAAAAGGAGTGGAACCTTCTTTCTAAGTGAAATATTATGAAGTGACCCAAAATATGTTTAAGATAGGTAACAATGGAACTGTCCATGTGAATCAGAAGGCTTAACAACCTGGTCTCCTTTCTCTTAACCACACCAAAATACCACCATCCCTGTCAACTTCGCGGAGCACTGTTTAGCTTACTCGATTTTTCCTTACCTTTTCCTCTTTGTTGGCACAGACCATTTTCATCACACATTTTGTTTTCCTTTTGGTAACTGCATGATACATTGGAGTAAAGGTGGTGGAATAGGTCTTCACATTTTCTTTCCCATATTTACGAATGGCCTCATCTATAACGTGCATAAAAAAGCATCTATCAAAAAATTATACTGAGCTATCAAAAGAGACAGGTGGCCAGAAATACACAACCTGAATCAAATCATGAGGAAACATCGAACACTACCAAGACCAGTAAACATTTTACAAAATAAATGCCGATGTTATGTGACACAAAAGAAAGGCTGAAGAATTTTGTTTCTAGAGTAAAGAAGACCAAAGAGGTATGAAAATTAAATGCAATACGTTATCTTGGACTGAATCCTGGACTTGGAAAACAATGTGAAAAATGACATTTTTAAGATAAATGGTAAACTTTGCATAAGGTTTAAAGTTTAGATAATACTGTATCAATTAAAATCTTCTCATTTTGAAAGCCGCACTATATTTATGTAAGGGAACAGCCTGTTCTTAAGAAATATATACCAAAGTGTGTGCATATAGAATGAGAAAATGATAAAGGAAAAATAGTAAGGATATAAAGGAGTCCTTTGTACTATTTTTGCAACTTTTTTTTTTTTTTGAGACAGGGTCTAGCTCTGTTGCCCTGGCTAGACTGCAGTGGCTCACTGCAACCTCATAGCTCACGGCAATCTCCAACTCCTGGGCTCAAGTGATCCTCCTGCCTCAGCCTCCCAAGTAGCTGGGACTACAGGCATAAGCCACTGTGCCTGGCCTATAACTTTTCTTTAAATTTGAAATTAGCTCAAATAAAAAAGCTAAAAAAAGGTTAAAGAGAAAGAATGGTGTGAGGGGAAAGCACTGGACTCTCAAAATATTAGTAGTTGTGGAGGAAATTGGAAATGTAATAAGAGACAGAACAAAAAGGAATATAACTTGGGGCTGAGATAGATTCAGTCAGTTGACAGAGACCCAATTTAAAGTTGGGGGTGGGAAGAAGGAAACCATAAATGACTTTCCTTTTTAAGCACCAACCTTCTGTGAGTCCCACTGTGCCAATAGGAGGGTGACTGAAGACTACGGTTGGGATGTTGTCATAGTCCAATTTGGAATCCTCTTTGCATTCAAAAAGTCGATGGGCAAGTTTTCGGCCAGCAGCTATTGCAACTGTAAAGATACTTTAAAATCAGTGTTTATCTTATTGTTCATTTTAACAAAGCAGAATTGTTCTACTCACCATTTATCCATCTGGCTTAATACACTAGTTAGTTATGACAAAGTTTTATACCAAACCAATGCTCACTGTAATATCTAGTTCAACATAATGAAGACATACCAATGCCCATCAATTCTGTATATTCTATTACAGGCTGAGCAGCCCTAATGCAAAAATCCAAAACCAAAATGCTCCAAGATTTGAAACTTTTTGACACCAAAGTAGAGAATTCCATACCTGACCTCACATGATAGGTCGCAGTCAAAACACAGACGCACGACAGTCTGTTTGGTGTCACCAAGAAAAATATAATTCCCTTTAGGCTATCCATATGGCTTGTATATGAAACAAAAATGAATTTTGTGTTCGGACTTGGTTCCCATCTAAGCTATCTCATTACTGTATATGCAGATATTCCAAAACTTGAAAAAATCCAAAATCTGAAACACGCCTGGTCCCAGGTATTTCAGGTGGGGGATACTGATACAATATTTATGGAACTATATTAGTTTCCAGCATATTCAGTTTTACTTTGTAACCTTACTCATTTCACAGTAAGATTGCTTTTTAACTCCAAAGTTTATTCTCTTTAGCCTGTTTTCACTCCTTATAATCTTTAAAAATAAAAAAGCCTGACTTCAAGCCTGCTGCCTCAGCCTCTCAAGTAGCTGGGACTACAGGCATGCACCACCATGCCCAGCCAATTTTTTCTTTATATATATTAGGTGGCCAATTAATTTCTTTCTATTTAGAGTAGAGACGGAGTCTCACTCTTGCTCAGGCTGGTTTTGAACTCCTGACCTCGAGCAATCTGCTCGCCTCGGCCTCCCAGAGTGTTAGGATTACAGGCGTGAGCCACCGCGCCCGGCCAGGAAGTAGGTTTTAATTGCTCTCACCACAAAAAACATAGTAAGTATGTGAAGTACATTAATTAGCTTGACTTAGCCATTCCGTGGTGTATACATTATTTTAAAACATGGTATACACCATAAATATGTACAACTTTTATTTAATTTTAAAAAATAAATTTACAAAAAAAGAGAGGGAACTTTCTAAAGGAGCTAAAAGGCTTTGGGGCTTTGGTGCATGACCGGGGTAGATTTCTACCCTGAGGTGAGACCCCGGGACATTCTGGAAAGGCTGGTGAGGCCACACAGGGGTCCAGGCTCAAAGCAGATGGGGTGACGTCACTAATGCATGGGGGTGGCACAAAGAGCTTGGAACGGTGCTACTTAACTCTGGGAGTGGGCTGAATATGGGATGAGGGTGGGAAGGTAGGGTTAGTCTTGATTGGTTGCATCAAGTTCAAATAGTCATACAAGAATGACTATCTAAATTATTAAATTTAATCTAAATGAAATTTAGTCAATCTGAATTCTTCTTCTGAAAGCCACTTCCTTTTAGTGCCACCATGCACAACTCTGACCCAGAGAGTGACTGTATTGTTTGTATGAAAATTTCATCCTTCACTAAGCATTTTATTATATTTTAATAATATTTTAAGCCTTTTAAGGAAAAATGAATATTATTCAGAAAATGACAGGTACCCAACCAACATCTATTTCGATGCATTTCTACCATTTTGACAAAAGAAAGAAACCTATCCTTTTCACTGTGGAGACCTGCTTTGGTTTTACGTCAACACCCAGGGCCTCCCTCACCAAGTAAGGAAGAGACACTACCTGGAGTAAGGAGAGCTTTTCCACACACATCCCCAACTGCGTAGACGCCCTTTACGTTGGTATTCTGGAATTCATCCACTATGATGTGACCTTTGTCATCGGTTTGAATCCCCTAAAATTATAGAGACATCTTGTAAATACTTGGCCCATCTACTAAAAATAGCAGATCAAACCTCTGGATCACCCTCAGCTCACACTGGCACCTCAGCCTGAATCTCCAAGGAACCAGAAGAGTCAATTACAACATGAAAGACATTTGAAGCAAGTTTTACATCTTTTGATTAATGTAAAAGGCAATATTTTGTCCACTTTTGAGATGTTTTAATAGGATTTGATGTTGTAATGTACAATTCACCTGGCCATGTAAACACACAGAAAAAAAATCACTCAACTATCAGACGTGCTCCTTGCTCTCTCTGTGGAGTCGGTGTGTCGGCTCCTGCTGAAGGAAGCCCTTCTGGAAGCACATTAGTTACTCACTAGTTATAAGAACTTGTGTAACCACCTATTTATCAACAAATATTTGGACTTCTATTACAAATGAGGCTTTGACCTAGTCACTGAGAATATAATGATATGACAGGCATCCTTTCTGCCCCATAGAGTTTATAGCCTGGTTAATGATCTATTATCTCTGTCTTCCTGGTTTCCTCATTTTTACCCCTCAAAGAGTGGCTGGCAAGATTAGATTAATAATGTGTTGACACAACCTAGCACATGGTAATCATTCAATTTGCATTACACAAATTTATCCTCACAGTGAATGAAAATGAAAATATTTTTGCCTCACTCTCTAAAAAATTCAGCACATGCAGTCAAAGACTGGATCTATAAATCTGTACAAAGGCAAAATGTCTCTTGAAAGGTGAAAAGCTTTCAAAGTGATTAGTTTTGTTAATACAAAAATAGACAAGTAGTTTTACTAAAGTTCATTGAAAGATAAGATTAAAAACAAGGCTGGGCGCCAGGCACGATAGCTCACGCCTGTAATCCTAGCACTCTGGGAGGCCAAGGCCAGCAGACTGCTCGAGCTCAGGAGTTCAAAACCAGCCTGAGCAAGAGCGAGACCCCATCTCTACTATAAATAGAAAGAAATTAATTGGCCAACTAATATATACAGAAAAAATTAACCAGACATGGTGGCGCATGCCTATAGTCCCAGCTACTCAGGAGGCTGAGGCAGAAGGATTGCTTGAGCCTGGGAGTTTGAGGTTGCTGTGAGCTAGGCTGACGGCATGGCACTCACTCTAGCCTGGGCAACAAAGTGAGACTCTGTCTCAAAAAACAAAACAAAACAAAACAAAACAAAAAAACAAGGCTGGGCAAGGTGGCATGTGCCTGTAGTCCCAGCTATTTGGGAGGTGGGAGGATTCCTTGAACCCAGGAGTTCAAGTCCAGCCTGGGCAACAGAGTGAGAACATACCCATCTCGGGGAAAAAAAATATAAAGAATAGGCCGGGCGCGGTGGCTCACGCCTGTAATCCTAGCTCTCTGGGAGGCCGAGGCGGGCGGATTGCTCGAGGTCAGGAGTTCAAAACCAGCCTGAGCAAGAGCGAGACCCTGTCTCTACTATAAATAGAAAGAAATTAATTGGCCAACTAATATATATATATAAAATTAGCTGGGCATGGTGGCGCATGCCTGTAGTCCCAGCTACTTGGGAGGCTGAGGCAGAAGGATTGCTTGAGCCCAGGAGATTGAGGTTGCTGTGAGCTAGGCTGACGCCACGGCACTCACTCTAGCCTAGGCAACAAAGCGAGACTCTGTCTAAAAAAAAAAAAAAAAAAAAAGAATAAAAAAAAGCAAAATATCTCCCTGGATATTTTATACTTTCAAATGCTGAAAAATAACCTTTATAGAAATGTAAAAGTAACCCACATTACAACAGAAATTAATATTAGAATATAAATCAAAATGTTACATACTACTCTAGAGGCTCTATCAAATATAAAACCTCAAACATAAAATATTCTATTATTACTAATAGAGTAGTACAGCATATCAGAAAAATCCATTATCATCATCAACAGCAGGTTAACATTTCTCATGTTTATATTATAGCCCGGGGTCTAAACTGGGAACTTTGCACACATTTTCTCATTTACTCTTCTCTATAACCCACGGGGCAAGTACTGTTTTTATTCCCATCTTGAATGTGAAGCAATTGAAACTTAGAGAAATTAAGCCGCTTGCTCAAGGCTATGCAACTGGTAAGTAATAGACTAAGGTTCAAATGTGGGTCAAACTCTGGCAACCACACCCCAAGCTACTATACCAGGCTTTCCTTCGAAATTAAAAAAAACATAAATGCCAACTGTCTGCATACATATCATTGGTCGAGCCAAGAGAGAGATGGCTTCACATCTGCGTCCCTTCCCAAGCACCACAGTGTCCAGGACAGCTACACACCCAGCAATCTGGCTTTGATACTGCAGATGATAAGGGATTGGCACAGAATTTCGAAAAGACATTCACATGGCAAAATGGAAGTCTGTGAGGAGGAGGTCAGGCAGGAAACTGCTGAACCATCTAGATTAGAGGTGGCAGAAGCTTCATTCAAGTGATAACACTAGAAAGGGAAAATAACTTTTTTTTTTAATTTCAAAGGAAGAGGCAATGGAATTTGATGACAAAGTGGATATATAAAATTAAAAGAAAAGAATCCAATACAACCCAAGCGAGTTTGGGGTGTCTAGGGGAAAGGGGGTGGGAATCACAGGGCTCCTAACAGATTCGAGAATGTTTTAGGCACACCAAGTTGGCTTACCACTTTGTTTAAATTCAAACCCCTGGAGTTTGGGTCCCGCCCAATGGCCCAGAGCAGGCAGTCAACATCTGGAATCGTGGTCATGGTGGGTTTCCTACCAGGGACGGAAGTAACCATGAGAAGTTCCAAGCCCGATGAAGTCTTTTTAACTTCCTTAACCTATTGGCAAATAAAATATGTTCAGTGGGGGAGGGGGCTGGAGGTGGGGAGGGAAGCAGGGGAAACTAGAATAATTTTCAACCTTTTAAAAAAAATCCCCACTGAATCCTACATGCTGACATAGACATTTACTTTTACCCAAAGGCTGTAACACTAGGTACCAATCCTGTTCCCCCAGTGGCCCCAAAGCTTCCAGGCAATGGCCAGGAATGTCAGCTCACGTCACCATAGAAATGTTTCAATTTAAAAACAAAATATTTTAAAGCATACTTCTTAAAAACTGCGATAAAATTTTAAGTCGTAAATAAAGCACAGTGGTTTGGAAGTAGGATATGGCAGCATCATTAGGAAACTTCCAAACTGCACAAGCACTGCCTCTCCTGGAAAAATTTTTTTTTTTTCGAGACAGAGTCTCACTATGTGGCCCAAGCTGGAGTGCAGTGGCACAATCATAGCTGTGTCCGACTGCAGCCTCTTACTCTTGGGCTCAAGTGATCCTCCCCTCTGAACCTCCCCAATAGGTATGACTATAGGCATGTGGCACCATGACTGGCTGTATTTAATTTTTTTGTTTTAGAGATGAGGTATTGCTACAGGCTGGTCTCAAACTCCTGGCCTCAAGCAATACTCCCTCCTCGGCCTCCCAAAGTGCTGGGATTACAGGCGTGAGCCACCGTGCCTGGACCAGCCTGGCATTTTTGCATTCATTTTTGAATTTGATAGTCTATGCTGAGAGGGTGAAGTGGTGGGAAGGGAAAAAGAAGATTGTTTTTACAAGGCTAATTCTCTAGGAAATTTCTGCTGAAATTCAAGTGATTTCTGAAAAGTACTTTGTAATTCTTTTTGTCTATAAAACTCAAATGGGTCAAACGGTACACTTTCAAAGTTGATCTAGATTCAACTGCCACGTTTCTAATTTCTTGCACCTTGAGTTCATTAATACTGCAATGTGAAGTCCTGCTGCCTAGGAGGAAGAAAAGAATCAGGAGCACTCTAGAAGTGGAATACATTGATTGGGGTAGACACAGAGTTTGTGATTATAAAAACAATCATGTGAGCCACAAGGGAAAAGTGTGACTCGAGACAGAGAGACAGACAGACAACTAGGGGCAGCTGGCGTGCCAGGCCTTGGCCCACGTACCTGGGAGAACTTTAGCACCTCCACGCCAGCATTCTCCAGCTCTTCCGTGCAGTTGGTGCTGATTATGGAATCAAAACTTCTAAGTACCTATGTACAAACATAGGAATGGATGGTGTGAAAGGAAGACATTTTTACCCCTTGCCTTTTATTTAATTTGTTTTTTGAGATAGCATCTCACTCTGTCACCTGGGCTGGAGTGCCGTGGCATCAGCCTAGCTCACAGCAACCTCAAACTCCTGGGCTCAAGCGATCATCCCGGCTCAGCTGTAGCTGGGACTATAGGTGCATGCCACCACATTCAGCTAATTTTTCTATTTTTAGTAGAGACAGGGTCTTGCTCTTGCTCAGGCTGGTCTCAAACTCCTGACCTCAAGCGATCCTCCCACGTTGGCCTCTCGGAGTGCTAGGAGTGAGCCACCTCACCCGGCCTCAAAAGGAAGGAAACTTGAGTAAAGACAGACTACAAACTTGGGAGGAAAACTTCAGTATTATCCCTCTTCTAATCGCCTTCATCAGCGGCCAAACTGGGAGTGGGGTTTGAACAAATCCTCTACTTTCCCACCCACTGTTGTCTGTGCTACGTGTGACTTCACCAACTCCTGTCTGGAGTTGGACAGTCACCCTTCAGGCCTCCATGGACAGTCACCCTTCAGGCCTCCCCTGTCTCCACGGCCTGCTCCTCCCAAGCTTGCTTCTCTTTTCCTTAAGTTCAGGGAACAGAAATCCTCTTTCCCCTTTTAGTAGTCCAGGGCCTGCTTTCCCTCTGATATGCTTGAAGGGAAGGTCCTCTAGCAAAATCTCCCAGTCTAGCCAGAGATCTCAACAGCTTAGCCTTGGAGATTCATTCATCTGTGATAACCTGCACGCAGGGCTCAGGTGGGAAGACAGGAGTTATTCACAGAGTAGTTCTAGAATGGAGTTACACCGGGACAGGGAGAACAGGGAGAGTGAGACCGGTGCATTAGGGGCGGAGAGGGTGAACCCATGCAGATGTGGCTACAGAGGAGCCAATTTTCCAGATGCAGGAATTATCCCCTCTACGGATAGCCTGCTGTGGTTTATTTACTCATTTACATAAAAATGCAGCCTTGGATCTCCTCTGATTTGCTCCTTCCTTCTAGCTTGCTGGATACAGTCTAGCAATGTAAAATAATGTTTGCCTATGAAAAACCGTATTCAGGATATAAGTTTCCTGGAGTTAATTACAGGACAAGTCTCCAAGCCAAAAAGAGAAAGTTCCTTAGAATCCACATTGCCAAGGATGGTTAGTTAGTACCCCTCACCCCCCTCCATCTGTTCGTGTAAGAATTAGAACCAGAGCATTTGAGCGGTCAGGGGTCTGGTAAATCCTGTTGCTGCAGAGCTGGGCTCCAAAGACCTTAAATGGTTTGCCCAAGTCATGTGTTTTTTAGGGACAGCCAGCAGTGGGACCAGATTCTTAGGCTGACACTCACTGCTGCTGCACACCGTGTCCCTGGAAGCTCTAACATGGTGTCACAACAACAGCAGTGCTTTGTAGGATTATTCAGCCAAACACACAAAGCAATACTTCATAAGCAATGACAAACACGGAGTCTAGGTCCAAGCAGAAAGAGGACTGGTTTGGGCTTTCTGAAACCTTAGTTGATACCCAGGTGTACTAATACTAATTAATAATTAGTAATAATTATTATTACTATTAGTATACTATTAGTAATAATTACTATATACTAATTAGTAATTACTAATACTAATTAGCAGCCACAAAACCTCTCGTGGCCTTACTTTCTTCATCTTGTAAATGAAGTTCAAGTGCATGAGCTACAAGGTTCCCAGAATGCAAAGAATTTAGCGAACTGTCTTGACTGAATGGTAAGAATCCAACACTAACCGACCACATAGAATGGCCTTCCAGAATTAACAGATTAACCTGACAGTGTGTTTAACGTAACTGATGTTCATATTTAAGCCCACAGGTCTTCTTATTAGGGTATCTGATGACCATCTCCCAGCTTGACCAACTCAAAATTATCGTCATCCACTAGCAGCTGGGAGGGACACGGGCCAAATTCAAACTTGGATGTAGCCGCTTGCGCAACAGACCAACGACCCCCTGCTTTCGCCCCACCATATAGTGACAACATAAAAAAAAATCCTCTCTCTAGTTTCTTTTTTCTTAAATTAACATCAAGGACAGGGAAGGGAACAGGTAGAATTTACCTTATCCTGCCGTATCATCAGTGATGTCTTAGAACCCAGGGCCGAGAGGATCCCAGCTATCTCCACAGCAATGTAACCTGCACCAACGATGACACTGCGGCTGAAATGAACACAGAGGGTTAATATTTTTAAATAAACTAATTTTGGAATAATTTTAGATTTACAGAGAAATTGCAAAGATAGTACAGCGATTTCCCTTATAGCAGTTTTCCCTTAAGTTAGCATTTCACATAACCAGGGTACATTTGTCAAAATAAGAAAATGACATTGGTATATTACTATTGACTAAACCCTAGATTTGATTTCACAAGTATTTCAGTTAATCTGTTTATTCTGTTCCAAGATCCAATCTAGGAGACCACAGTAAAATTTTTATTTATTTTATTTATTTATTTTTTGAGACAGGGTCTCACTCTGCCACCCTGGCTAGAGTACAGTGGCGAGATTATAGCTCCCTGTAAACTTGAACTCCTGGGCTCAAGAGATCTTCTTGCCTCAGCCTCCCATGTAGCTGGGACTATAGGTGCACCACCACGCCTGGCTAATTTTTTTTTCATTTTTTTGTAGAGACGGGATTTTGCCATGTTGCCCAGGCTGGTCCGGAACTCCTGGCCTCAAACGATCTTCCTGCCTCAGCCTCCCAAAGTGCTGGGATTACAGGTGTGAGCCACTGCACCTGGTTTACCCTGCAATTTTAAGTAAAAAATATCCCTTTGTAAAAGAAGATAAATATATTTTTAGTTGTTTTAAAATGTTCTTTAGCCTCATTTCTTCAGAGGAGAAACGAAAATGTTTGAAACTAGAGAAGATTCCTCACGCAATGGTCCTCACACCTAAAACTAAAATCAGGGCCACTATTATTCTCCTCTGTTCGGTATTTCTCCTTCATCATTATTTAGTTCTATCAATTCTTGCAATATGATCAAATGGCAAGTTAAGCAAGCCATTTTTAACTTGTAAGATAGATGTGCAATCAAACTAAACTCACTGAATAAATTTGGTCTAAAAAGAGTCATGAGGCCGGGCGCTGTGGCTCACGCCTGTAATCCTTTCTCTTGGGAGGCCGAGGGGGTGGATTGCTCAAGGTCAGGAGTTCAAAACCAGCCTGAGCAAGGAGCGAGACCCCGTCTCTCTACGATATAAATAGAAAGAATTATTGGCAACTGGGATATATATAAAAAAAAAAATTAGCTGGGCATGGTGGGCGCATGCCTGTAGTCCCAGCTACTCGGAGGCTGAGGCAGGAGGATCGCTTGAGCCAGGAGTTTGAGGTTGCTGTGAGGCTAGGCTGACGCCACGGCATCTCACTCTAGCCGTGGCACAACAAAGTGGACTCTGTCTCAAAAAAAAAAAAAAAAAAAAAAGAATCATGAGCACTAGATATGCTCGGATGAAGGTCTGAATGAATGGTAGAGAAGTTCTAATCCTGGCCCTAGAACTATAATGTTTACTTCCACACTGCAGCCTAGAGAATAAGTACCCTCATATGGGGCTATCACATTTGGGGCTGGAGTCCTCTCAAGCTTCCAACACGGTGCTCTACCATCGTTACAGCGCTTGGGTAAGAAGTAACAGGGAAGAGCAGAGGACCCCCTTTCTCTAAAACCTTCCCCAGGCAAGGTTCCCGGTCTTCAGAGGGCATGTGGGCTAGATGAAGGATGAAGAACCCAAATTGCTTCAACTCAGAAGTGATGACCCTCTTATTCTATGACACACTAAACAAAAAATTTCTATGTAATTCAAAATCTTCTTCCATCTTTACCTTCCTCTTTCCTATATGTTTTTTTTTTTTTTTTGAGACAGTCTCCCACTCTGTTGCCCAGGCTAGAGTGCCGTGGTGTCAGCCTTGCTCACAGCAACCTCAAACTCCTGGGCTTAAGCAATCCTACTGCCTCAGCCTCCCCAGTAGCTGGGACTACAGGCATGCGCCACCATGCCCGGCTAATTTTTTCTATATGTATTAGTTGGCCAATTAATTTCTTTCTATTTATAGCAGAGACGGGGTCTCACTCTTGCTCAGGCTGGTTTTGAACTCCTGACCTCAAGGGATCCGCCTGCCTTGGCCTCCCAGAGAGCTAGGATTACAGGCGTGAGCCACCGCGCCCGGCCCTATATTATATGTTGACCTCTTTTCCTTTGAGTCTTCCCTCCTTCTTTTCTTCTTTCCTCTATCTTCTCCTTCTTCCCCAAACATTTATTATTTCAGCCCTACTTCGTGCCAAGCACTGCTCTAGACAGGATGGATAACGGTCCCTGCCCTTGAGGAATTTCTGAGCGGGGGAATCTGCTAGAGTCTACTGAGGAAGAGGTCCACAGTCAGTTCCTGCAGGGCAGAGAGCTCAGAAAATGCTGCAGCTTCCTGAACAATGAATAGCTTTTGCCAGGGCTGAGGGGTGCTGCCCAAGCCAAGAGAGGACATGCAAGAAACAGGCACGAAGCAACCTGGCTTCCTCAGGGGGGAGAGCTCAGTGCTTTCTTCTTGGCTCCAAGAGGGACCTTAATCCTGCCACTTACAGCTGAAATATCCACTGGAAACAATCTTTTATTCAGTGGAATCCCCAAAGCATTTCTTTCTCTCACCGTGGCCCACAGGACTCCTTGTACCATGGCGTCCATGGGGTTCACGCTTCAGCCTTAACCATGAGCCCTCTGAGAGCAAATCTTGAGTCACTGCATTTTGCCTGCATTGTTTACTTATTTACTTGCCTGATTCTTTACTTATTCACCAACATTCCAACAATGATAAAGGAGACTTAAAGAGAAAGAGAAAAAGAGAAGAAAAATCACCTGTTGATTGTGAACTCATTTTTCTTGTGTTCCCAGAGCCTTTCATTTATAACATGCCTAAATGTAAATATCTAAAATATCCAAGAGGGCGACTTCTGGGGCCCCCCTCTCTTGGGGCCCCAGAACCTTGTCCACGATGAAAACAAAAAAAATATCCAAGGAACAGATATCTACGGTGAAAGGTCTCTGAGGGTGAGTCTAGACTGAATTCTAGCATCTAAACATGACAGTCATGATCATATTTCTGGACACATCCTCACATGTGTTGTATCTTTCAATCACAAAATCAAACAATAGGAGGCGGATCATTTAACCCTAAAATCAAACAATACAGGGTGGATCACAAGGAAAGGAAGGCTGTCCTCTAACACACTCCCATGCCCTTGGACAGCAAATCTAAAAGGACTGTGTGTGCTTTTGTCAAAACTCCTCAAAGTCAGAAAATGGCCTGGCCTCAATATCTCCATGGGACATGGCTTGTGTGGCCATGGCACTGCAAGGCAGCCTTCTTGTCCCTTATCCACTGTCAAGGTGAACCAAGGGAAAGGCATAAGCGTGGATTATTAGTCACCCTCCCTGAAAGCCTTATGAAAGCACAGGATCAGGACCTCAGACTGGATTGGCAACAGCTGCCGAGGGAGCAGCAGAGTTGAGCAACACGGGCTCTAGAGTCAGCGCTTGTCAGGAGAGAAAGGCCAGTCTCTGGGCCCTCGGGGTCCCTCCTCCAGTTCCCAAGTGTCCTCTCTTTTCATGAGTAAAGTGAGGATCCCTCTAACCTACAAAGCTTGCAATGTGCAGCACCTTTGAATTAGAGAAACAATCTTCATTTTTATCTTTTTCCCCCCTCTAGGAATCTAAATCCACACCAGACGTTTACTAAGGTTATTCAGACAGACATGTATCAAGAACAATGTCAAAAAATGTACTGTTGAGGCCAGCCGTGTGGCTCACTCCTGTAATTCCAGCACTTCTGGAGGCTGAGGCAAGAGGACAGCTTGAGCCCAGGAGTTGGAGGCTACAGTGAGCTATGATGACGCCACTGCACTCCAGCCTGGGCAACAGAGTGAGACTCTGTCTCTAAAACAAAACGAAAGAAAATGTATTTTTGTAAGACTGACAGAACCTTCATTTATGGAGACCCCTCTGTACCAGCTACTTTGAAAAACCAGAATTGGCTACTTTAGACATTGTGAATTCATGCTATATCAAGTTGAAAAAAGAAGACAGTTTTAAGACTTTACTATTTAGTTTTCAAATTACCCTGTATTTGATTTTGGTTCTAAAAATTTTGCAATGGCCTCTCATCAAAAGCATGAAAACTTTGCATGATCTACTGAGGGGTACTAGTGAATGAGGTCCCCAGGGTCATACAGAGAAGAGGTAGGCAAACAGAATTCAGGAAATGCCTACGTTTGCAGTGGTTGGGAGGGGGAGGAAGAAGAAATGTTACTGGGAAGAGGGAGAAAGGATGAATCACCGAGGTGAGGTCAGGTCAGGTCAGGTCAGCTTACCCAGGCAATTCTTCTAGTTGAAAAAATCCATCACTGGTTATTCCAAGGCTGGCACCTATGTAGAAAAATGCAACTGAGATCACACACAGCCTTGCTGTTCCTCTTGTAAAACAGTCACAACATTTTATACAAGAACCAAACACCTTCTCAGCCAACATTCTCTCTGTTTTGACAAGTTTTGTTAAAGTCTCCACTTGGGAAGCTGCCAACCAAGTCTTCCCTGACTGAGTCAACATTTTTATTTTCTCTCCAGAAATTGAAGCTGTGATGGCTAAATAACTTTTAAATTTCTCTGAAGAACTAAGGTGCTCTTGGCTTTCAAGAACAGGCTCTTTGCTGGCTCCGCCTCACTCTCAAACCCCAAGTGTAGGCAGGAACCCACCGGCTCAGCCCTGGACCTTCTCTCAGCTTGTTCCTTGAGAGGTTTCAACCTCCCTGGGGAGGACTTCCGAATGCAGGGCTCCAGCTCCATGTCTCTACTGCGTTACCCAATCCTTGGTCTATTTAGAATTAAAGTTTAACTTTATCTCCCAAACCATCTCTCGCTCTCGCTCTCGCTCTTTCTCTTGTTAACCACTTCCATTAAAGGAGCCACCTTCCCTCAATAATCCAAAGCCTTAAGTTGCCCAGCTGTGATTCCTTCTCTTAGCAGCTCCTACACCAGTATCCCATAAGTCACTAAGTATATATTGCATTTTACCAAATCCTGACTTCAAAGGTGTTGAATATTTTTTAAAAAATGTCTTCGAATCAATGAAATACAGTAACTGATTCTTCCTCCTCTGTGTCTTTTGTGCCTGTTCTTGTCTCTTGTCTCTGACCTTCTAGCAGAGGCTTAGCAATTGTCTGCAGATCTGAACTGCGATTTTTCTATCACATGTCAGGAACAAAACACTAACTGGAAACTCCACCACCATCTCCTGCACCAGAGTTTTCTAACTGGTCCTCATCCTCTGCACTCTCCCCTATTCAAGTCACTGTCAGATGAGTTTCTAAAATTACCACTTAGATCTTGTCACAACTCTATTTATATGCTAATAATTATTTGTCACAGTTGCCATGAATTTAGAGATTCCTTAATTTGGCTTGAGGAGTCTCCACAATTTGGCCCTAACCCAATTCCAGTCTCAGCTCCGAGTACTCACTCACCTCAGTATTTTAGTGCTAGAAAAATTGGTTGAATTGGCGGAATGTCTTTCAAAAACATCTTTAATACCCACTGGTATTAAATTGAGCACATAATGCTCAATGTGTGAGCACTTTTCCTAGGAAGTCTTTCTGGGTCATGCCTGTCCCACCTCTGAAATATCTCAATGCTCCCTGTCTGGTAATGACCTTGGAACAATGACATTTTATTTTTTACAGATGTTTTTATTATATGCTTTAAATTAATAAATATATATGTTAAAAATTTCAAAACATACAACAGAGTACGTGGTGAAATATACAGTGAAATAAACATAGAGTGAAAAGCAAGTTTCTTTTTGACCCTACAGCTCTCACCCTGTCGTTGGATGGGGTCACCATGACAGGGTCCCTGAGTACCCTTCCAGAGACATTCACATATGTATGGCCTCCCTGCCTTTATAAAAAGACATAAATTATAGCATACTATACACACTGTTCTAGTCTTTTTTTTTTTTTCACTTAACAATAAACTTTGAATCATTCCTATCAAGGATACTTATGTCCAATATTCCTCCTTTTTTATTTTTTTGAGACAGGGTCTGACTCTGCTGCCTAGGCTACAGTGCATCACCATACAGACATCACCATAGCTTACTGTAACCTCAAACTCCTGGGCTCAAATGACCTCCTGGCTTAGCCTCCCAAGAAGCTAGGACTTACAGGTACACGCCAACACGCTCAGCTGATTTATCTATTTTGTATTTTTTTTTTTTGTAGTGATGAGGTCTTGCTATGTTGCTCAGGCTGGTCTCAAATTCCTGGCCTCAAATGATCCTCCTACCTCAGCCTTCCAAAGTGCTAGGATTATAGGTATGAGCCACCACGCCCAGCTCCAACTATATTTTAAGTTACTTTAGAATTTTTTATAGCAGTTATTCTTTACCTTTGGGGGTTGTGACTACCTTTTAAAAGCTAGTGAAAACTATGAATCCTACTTCCAGAGAGGAAAAATATTGCATAAATGTATATAAACTCAAAATTTTCCATATGAATTCAGGTTGGTCATGGGTCTTATAAAGCCAATCCATTGAGTATACAAAAGATGTATAAACTATATCCATCATTCACAAAGTCCTTATAATCCAGTTGAGGAGAAAGACATGGACACTGTTTCTTATGAGAGAATAAGGAGGTATGTTCATGATTCGTTCCCTGGGGCTTAGCTCCTGTGTGTATAAAATGCAAAGGTAGGTACGACCACCTCTGGGATTCCTTACTGCTTTAATCTTCCATACTTCTCCATTCAAGAGAGAAAAGTATGCACATAAAAGTTTACTTAGCTCGTTAAACTACATCTTTATGGATTTCCCTCCTGTAAATAAAATGGTAAATACACATGTTTTAGAAATCAGCCATCGGACAAACTGAAGCTGGAAACAATCTATGCCACACTGGGAAGGAAAGAATGAGGCTCTCCCTGATTTTTGTCCATTGCCTGTGCTATGTCTGAGACCGGAGCTAAATGACATCTTTTTCTTCACCCCATGTAGCTACCACTTAGCCAGTTACAGGTGGGCTCCGCAGAGACCTTCTCTAATAGCCTTTTTCAACAGAGAGAACCAGTAATAGGCAGATCCCACAGCTTGGCTTGTCAGGGTGAAAGCAATGGTCCATTCATTCCTCCCAACTGTTGTCAATGAGTATGTGCCTTGGGAGACTCACCAGGGATCTGGCTCTCGTGGGGAATGGAGGGCACACCACCTGTGGCGATCAGGATGTGAGGCGCCGTGTATTTTTTCCCATTGACTTCTACTGTGGGCTGGGGATCACTAGTGAACGCTGCATGGCCGTGGATGAATTCTATATTGGACTAGAGAAGGCATTGTGGCATTAGCCTGTTCTTAAGATAAAACAAAAACACCTGCTACAACTTATCAGTTCTTTCATTTCTCTATTGAAATGGTTTGCTGATGCCAAGACAATTCTGTGTTGTTTGAGTTTCTGCAGAACTCCTGACTCATAACTGATACTTAGATGAAGAGGCTGCCATTAGATGCTGGAAGTGTACAATAAGAAGAAACAAAGGGGCGATTATCTTGGGTCAAAATCCAGCAACCAAAAAATATCTACAAGTCACCCCCACAACAAAAAAGATGACATCTTTAACCCCAAGAGTTGATGGAGAAAGCCTTCCTTACTTGCAATGAAAACACATCACAGAATGATGTGTTTGGAGGAGGGGCAGAAGCCTGAGAAAAACAAAAGAATACAGGTAAAAAGAGTAGAGGCAAAAGAGAAATACCCTGGCCAAGGGAGGAAAATGCAATGGTTGTTTCTGTTTTCTTAAACAAAAGGGAAGACTATCACAAAATTACATGACAATGAAGCTCTAGGGTAGATGTGTTGAGAACTCAGACTTTGGTTTGCTCTGACTAGAAACTTCTCCACTGGGACCTTCATTTGGGGGCTGCTGGCAAAGCTTCCACCAGCCCTGATGCATGTCCTGGCACACAAATGGGGGCGACTTAGGAGGACAATGGAACCGAGGAAGCATCATTACCAAATGGAATGTTTTCACATTTTGGAACATGCTTGGTTCTGTTTTGAGTTATCTCCTCCTTTCCAACCACCCCTCCAGGCCTGTCCTTGCAGGTGCCTGGCTTAAGCTGAATCAAGATCAAAGACAAGCCACCAGTTTCCAGAACAACCTTCCCTCAGAGGTAATGATTTCCTGTGCAGCGATAGATAAAAAGGTGTGTAGGTTGAATGGTGATATAGTACAGATAGCAGGCTAGGGAAGGAAGTGATAAGATTTTGATTTTCATTTTCTAGGATATTAGACAGAAAGTTTCCTTCCCTACACAGAATTTCTGGATCAACTATAACTAATTCTTTCTCCATGTGGTCACCATAAGCTATACTACCCATCAAGATTTATAAGCATTAAAAAATGCTGATTCCTCAGTAATTTTTCTATCTCTTTTGCAAAAGTATTTTAGCTAGCTCCATTAAAAAAAATTTGGTGTGGGTATTTTAGCATATAGCCAGTGGTATCTCTATACGCTACAATTTTAAGGTCTGACAGCCTTTAAAAATCTCTTGTAGTCAGTGCAGAGGGACTGCAGGCCCTTAAATATATTTTCCCCCTGAATTGGGGATTAAGGTAAAAATGAGATTATCCTCCAAAAATTAAATCCAATGAATAGTAAGAATATAAGAGTATATGAGGCTAGTCATCTGTAGAAGTAATCCACCCTAAAAATTGGTTTATAAATATGCTAATGAGATTATAATGGCCCAATATCATCAAGAATCTATTACTCTAACTATAACCTAAGAAATCTTAGAAACTACAAAGTGAGAATGCAAAGACAAATGAAAGGTGGTGGGAATATGTTGTCAAGAAAAAGAGATGCATAATTTATGCATAAATGATGCATAATTTGTCAATGTCACTTGCATGGTCCCAGGTGGAAGAGGTCTAATACCTAATCACCAAGGCAGAAAAAGCCTCAGGTTAGCAAAGGACAACATCCATTTGTTGGAGGCAAACACATTTTGCCAAGTTTTCCCCATCAGACTTCACTCATAAAAACAACCTTTGTAATCATAATTTGGTCTCCTGAGTAGATCTAGCCACCAAGGATCAGGCTATTCTGGACAAATGAATACTGGTAGGCTTTTAGCCAGATAGTGTTACTGATTTCAATTAAAAAACTAGCATTCTGAGGCATATATCAGTCTGTTATGTGTGTGATTTCTGAATCTAAGTGGCAGGCCAGACCCACTCAAGTTGCAGCCATCAGGTCAGGCCTGGTCTACTTCTGAACAGGTCCCGGTCCTTGAACTACGGCCCGAGGTCATTTATCCAGCCCTCAGCGTGTTTTGGCCACCGCTGTCTGTCCTGCTTAGCAGCCGACTCGTCCTGGGCCCACAGTGCGCATGCGTGGAATGTGCGCCACACTCTCCAACGGCCCTCCAACGGTCTGAGGGACAGTGAACTGGCCCCCTGTTTACAAAGTTTGAGGACCCCTGGGTCAGAGGCTTCTGCTCTGACAGGTTAACTTCATAATCGTTAATCACAAATAAAATCATAGGAACAACAAGAGCTCTATCCAAAGGTTACAAGTTAGCATACTCTAGCAGACAGCAGCTCCTCAAAGTTCAAAACCCTGCATACCCACCTTGGTTAGGTTGTTTTGATATATGGTGTTCAGGCGGCTCACATAGGCATCCCGCTTTTCCTTAATGACACTGCAATGAAACCTGAGTCAGTTCTCAGAAACAGGATTTTCCTCTTTCAGTTAGTAATGAGGACGTCTGTCCCTGAACACCCCTGAGCATAGAATCACAGACTGTCAACAAGAACGGCAGTGGAATGTCTCTAAAAACAGCCATCCCACCCCGCCGTCCATCTCCCCCCCATGCCCCCTCCCACCCCCGTGTAGAACCCTTATTCCACTCCATGGAGGATGCTCGGGCTTCCTCTTCCCAAACAGAAGACCAGGAGAGATCTGCACGGGGCCTAGAATGTGGTGGCCACTTAATAAATATGTGTTGAATAAATGAATTTGCTAAAATTTTTTGCAAATTTGATGGCTTCAAAAGATTTATGGCAGTTCCTTAAAAAGTTAAACATAGGATTGCCATAAGACCCAGCAATTCTACTTCTAGGTGGAGATCTCCAAAAATTGGAAGCAGAAATTTTTTTTTTTTTGAGACAGAGTTTCACTCTGTCACCTGGGCTAGAGTGCAATGGCGTTATCCATAGCTCACTGCAACCTCAAATTCCTGGGCTCAAGCAATCCTCCTGCCTCAGCCGAGTAGCTGGGACCATAGGCACGCACCAGCATGCCCAGCTAATTAAAAAAAATGTTTAATAGAGACAGGGTCTTGCTCTTGCTCACACTGGTCTTGAACCTCTGAGCTCAAAGGATCTTCCTGCCTCGGCCTCCCAGAGTGCTAGGATTATAGGTGTGAGCCACTGCACCCAGCCGGGAAGCAGATAATTGAACAGAGACTTGTGTATCAGTGTTCATAGCAGCATTGTTCACAATAACCACAAGGTAAAACAATCCAAAAGTTCACTAATGAATGAATGGATAAAGAAAAATATGGTATATCCATGTGATGGAATATTATCCTGCCTTAAGAAGGAATGATGTTATACATACAAAAATGGATGAACCTTGAAAACATTATGCTAATCAAAAATAAACCAGACACACAAAGGAACAAATATTGTATAATTGCACTTATATGAAGTACCTAGAAGTACCTAGAACTGGCAAATTTATAGCGACAGAAAGTGGAATAGAGGTAGCCAGGGGCTGGGGGAAGAGGAGAATGAAGAGTTATTATTTAATGGACAGAGTTTCTGTTTAGAATTTCTGGAAATGGATAGTGGTGATAGTTGCAAACAATATAGTGGTAATGACTGCACAACAGTGTGAATGTACTTAATGCCACTCAATTGTGTACTTAAAAACAGTTAAAATGGTATATTTTCAGTTACAGTATATCTTAATCATAACAATCCCTCCACCTACCCCCACAAAAGTTTATGGCTCTTAGTTATGAAACAAAAATATTTACATTTGTAAGTGAACCCTCTGAGCATTAACACTTACCGCCAGTTGAATTTACCCTCACAACTTTGAAAACCATAATCAACGTGATCGTGCATGAATTCAGAGTGGACAGCTGTATTCCACATTACCTGTGAAAAAAAGACCCAAAACAGTAACAAATAAGTCAGAAGGGAAGACAGGAATCATGAATGAATGGTAACTTGGTAATAGCAGATAAAAATACTGACCTTTAAATTAAAACAAAACTAAACATTATAAAAGAGAAAGTTCACAACTCCAACCAGATGGATTTTATAGTGAGGCTTCTGAATGTTGGGGGATATTACCTCTACTGTTAAATTAGCTAATTTATAAATACTATAAAAACAAGATATTATGGACCTCATAGTCCTTCCTTTAAAACGTATTATTGCCTTTAAGTTTCTTTAAGACCTGCCCTTTTGGATTCAGTTACAGGAAATGAAATTGCATATGTAACTTTACAGGAAAGGGATTTAGAAAAAAGCGATTATATAAAGTTGAAGACTGGCTGGGTGTGGTAGTTCACACCTGTAATCCCAGCACTAGGGGAGGTGGAGGTAGGAGGATCACTTGAGGCCAGGAGTTCAAGTCCAGCCTGAGCAACATAGCAAGACCCCTCCTCTACCAAAAATAGAAAAATTAGCCAGGTGTGGTGGCGAGCACCTGTAGGCCCTGCTACTTGGGAGGCTGAGGCAGGAGGATCACTTCTAGCCTGGGTGACAGAGTGAGACCCTGTCTCAAAAAAAGAGTCCAAGACTGAAATTTTTAAGAGAATGGATTCCTATAATATATTCAATAACTATAAACATGCCCTTATCAGGATGTATAAAACTATACAACTGGATCTCAAAGGTTCAACACATCTCTTGTAGAATGTAGCTGTAGGGACCAAGGTCCTTGGACCCCTCTAAAGGTTCACTGAAAAATCATTGCCATGAGGCAGATCAATTAACTGGAGAAAAGGCATACAAGTTTATCTAATGCATATACATATGAAGTACCTAGAATTGGCAAATTCAGAGACAGAAAGTAAAATAGAGGTACCCAAGGGCTTGGAGGAGAGAGGAATGAAGGATTATTGTTTAATGGGTAGAGTTCAGATTAAAGACCCAAAGATACAGGGGAAATTGTCCATTCTTATGTTTAGGTTCAACAGCGTATAGACAGTTGTGTAGACATATGACTGGACAAAAGGGTATGATCTGATGCTAATAGACTAAGTGGGGGAGCCCAGCAAGGCCTGTCAGTCTAGATTCTTCTTGGCCTCTCTGAGCAGCATCCTTTCTTCTGGGTGTGGGGCAGAACCCTCTCTGGAATGGGGGTCTTATGACCTGCAGTCAAACAAGTAGGTTAATTTCCTTATGGCCTGTTTTTTACATGGAATAATTTTAGATTTTTTGTTTGTTTGTTTTTATTTAATCCTTTCAAAAATTTTAGGTTTTATGGCTGGCTTTTGGGAAAAGGGTTCTGTGGCTTTTATGACCCACCTTAGGGATGAGGGGTTCTCGTTTCAATGGTCAGCTTCAGGGAAGAATGGGACTGAGAGGCAGAAGGGTTAGAGAAAAACTGCTTCTGAGGTCTTCATTTTGGGGTACTGTTTTCTGAGCTCCAACACAGCCTACAATCTGTAGAGATCTTATATGCTAACTGATCATCACAATAACGAAATTCAAACTGGCATCGAGAACTCTGGACGCCAAACTACCATTTTCTTTTGTTGGACGAGCTTTACACTCCATTTTCCCCTAGGTGCTTTCTTTATGCCTGTCTCCCTTTAAACCTAAAGATGACTATATTGATGACTCTGCTAGATTTTTTTTAAATCAAGGTGAAATTCATTTAACATAGAATTAACCATTTTATCTGCTTGCTCTTTATCTTAATGCAGATGAAAGATTTATCAGAACCACAAATAAATCGTGTTATGTTAATAAAAATCACTTTACCTCCTATCTCCACAAGGTTAACATATTTATTTATTCCCAATTCGCACTATGTGTAACGCTATGGCATTAAACAATTAATTGCATTGGGCGTTTAGGCCCAGAGCTCATCATGGTGGTAGGTACCAAGCACGCTCATCCTTCTGGTTCTTTCTCTCTTGCTACCTCACTCTACCCCTCGGACAGGGGAGTTACTCTGGGCTTCAGTCTATGCTACAAAATAAGAGGCAATTACCAACTGACCCTCAAGAGTGTAAAGCACTTTGAAATCAGTAGAGCCCTATAAAAATATAAGATAAATGCCTACCACATGTGATCAGAAGGAGTAGGTAAAACAATATATGAGACAAAATATTTCAGATTCAGGTTTCTATGCAGTCTTAGCTCAGTGGTATTTTAAGATAATAAGGTGGACCAATCAACACTAAATTTACTATCATAATTGGTCTAAACTACATAAAACCACCTTATAGTTAATTTATATAATTCATATAGCCATAATTGCATGACTCCAAGTAGAACAGATTACAAAAAGTAGAACTAGAAGGAAAGAAAATAATATGAGAATAATAATATGAGAAAATAATATGAGAAAAATATCCCAAAAGAAAAAAAGAAATCTTCCTAAAACAAAGAAAAAAAATCTACCTATACTAGGGAACAGATTTCAGAAAACCTTTCTGGAATTACACTCAGGTCTGAGTCACTAATGAGATTAGGATGTTTGCTTACAAAATACCAAAAAGATGACAATTTAAAATGTAATGTCAGGGCTGGGCGCGGTGGCTCACGCCTGTAATCCTAGCACTCTGGGAGGCGGAGGTGGGCGGATAGCTGGAGGTCAGGAGTTCGAAATCAGCCTGAGCAAGAGCTAGACCCCGTCTCTACTATAAATAGAAAGAAATTAATTGGCCAACTAATATATATAGAAAAAATTAGCCGGGCATTGTGGCGCATGCCTGCAGTCCCAGCTACTTGGGAGGCTGAGGCAGCAGGATCGTGAACCCAGGAGTTTGAGGTTGCTGCGAGCTAGGCTGACACCACGGCACTCACTCTAGCCTGAGCAACAAAGCGAGACTCTGTCTCAAAAAAAAAAAAAAAAAAAATGTAATGTCAGTAACAAAAGGTGGTAAGCTTGGGATTATCAGGGATTATCACATTTTGAATGTGCATTCAAATGAGGATTAAAATTATTTGCAACTATAAGCAAGAGGCAGCTTTGGAACTAGGAGCTGCTGTTTCTTCCTCTTTGTCGAGGGTGAAGAATGGGTTCTAGGTCACCTTAAGACCAAAAAAATCACTAATGTGGAAAAGAAAATCCACGAGGCTACAGAACTTAAAATGGGAATACTTCAGAAGATTCCATTCCCTCATTTGGCTGGGTCTCCCCACTGAGAAAAAACTATCCTGTGAAGTAGATGGCCAGTCTTAATTACTGGGTCCAGATATAATCTCACTCACTCTAAACCAATAAATCAATGTATCGTTTTATAAGACAATTCCCTTGTGATGTCAGGTAATCAATTCACTAGCCTGTCTGATCACTCCTGAAGTGACCCAATAAACTTGAATTTCTGGAATAGCAAAGGTGGGATTACTAGCCACAAAGGTATCCATCTACGGTACCAAGAAATATCATTCAAATAACTTGAGAAGTACAACCTTAGAGACACCCAAGGTCAAATGATACATGATTTTAAAATGAGTAATTTATAGCGAAGTATACTTTTGCGTTTAAAACCAAAAACTACCACCAACAAAATAAAATAAACAAAACCCGAACAACAACCTTGACACATCTTTCCAGGAGAAAAAGCAATGCTAGTCTCCTGGTAATAACTGGTTTGGATGTACCTTGGAGCAGGGAAGAGACCAGCTGGCTTGAGGCAAACATCCTACTTTATCCTACAGTCCGCAAAGTCACCCCAGGGTGTCTGGTAGTTGGCTGAGGCCAGGTGAGGGAGGAAACTCCAGCTGTGCCATCATCCACTTAATGTCCTGGTCACATCAGCATTTGCGCTGATGTGTAGAAACGTTTTTATTTCCTGGCTGCCTCTCCCTAGTGAGAAAAAGTTACCCTGTGTGGATGGAGCGTGCTTTTCTTTCATGTCATAACTACAGGTATCTTTTTTGTTTGTTTGTTTTAAGACAGAGTCTCGCTTTGTTGCCAGGCTAGAGTGAGCGCTATGGCGTCAGCCTAGCTCACAGTAACCTCAATCTCCTGGGCTCAAGCAATCCTTCTGCCTCAGTCTCCCTAGTAGCTGGGACTACAGGCATGCGCCACCATGCCCGGCTAGTTTTTTCTATATATATTACTTGGCCAATTAATTTCTTTCTATTTATAGTAGAGACAGGGTCTCGCTCTTGCTCAGGCTGGTTTCCAACTCCTGACCTCAAGCAATCCACCCACCTCCCAGAGTGCTAGGATTACAGGCGTGAGCCACCATGCCTGGCCTACAGGTATCTTTTATCAGTTGTTCCCGCTAGGCCATCACAAGTTCGCGGCCACTGTGTTCCATTCCAGGTTACCTCCCCACTGGGCGCACCCTGGAAACACTGTCACTCTGAGAACTTACCACGTGGTGAAGGTTCAGGATGAATTTCTTTTGCACGCGTGATACAGTTCGTGTCCAGGAGCTAACATTTCTGTGGCTATCTCCCCTCCCTCATTTCTTCCTAGCTGAAAAGGACAATCACTGGCCCAGCCTCCTGCAGGGGTAGCTCAATCCTGACCAGGGTGTGAACATCCTGCCTGGTGCTCCTGGAGCCATAAGAGGCCATGAAGATATTAATTTATACACCCAGGATGGCAGGAAACATGGGGGAAGCCAGGACTCTTACAGGTATCTTCAAGTGCTAAGCCAGTCTCAGCAACTCCCTGTCAGCAATCTTCTTGGTAAGTGATATTAAAAAAATATAAACAAAAACCATCCTATTGCTTAAGCTACTATCACTGGGTGCTCAGTTCTTTTTTACAGAAAGAATTATAACTGGTATGTTTGGAGACATTCTTATTTTGATCATGAGTTACCAAATAGCAAAAGGATTGTGAAGGGAAAGATAAATAAAAATCCTACCTTTTTGGGTACACATCCGACATTTACCTAGAAAAGAAAAAGGACATACTTTAAGGATATTGAACTCAAACCATCAAATGAACCTGCAATACACTCTAAGCATTAAACAAGGAGCCATCCTTGAGTTCTAAGTCACAATGAACTATTAATAAATTCTATAGTTACTTCCTTTTTTCTATAAAATTGGAAAAGATGAGAACATTATTTTCTTTATGTGATGAAGTTGGGAATTTTACTCATCAGCATGTTCTAAAGAGAAGCAAAGAGAGAGAAAGCGCAATCACACCATTTGAGCAGCTGTCTTAGGAGATTTCTGGGAAATTTACTGCGGAGTAGGTCGATAAACACCCAGTATGGCCACCAAACAAAACCTCTCTGGAAAGCCACATTAATATTTTTCAGGGCCAAAGGACAATGAACCAAGCAGTGAAATTCATCCACGCCACTAAGTCTTACAGAATTGCTAGAGTTACACCACAAGTTTTACTCTAAGCATTCTAGCAGCCAATATACAAAAGGAAACACAAATAGTTTTAGGATTTCATCAAGCAAAAAGTAACCAGATATCTAAGAAAGTAACTATTCATACTGGTAAGGCTAGAGAGAAGTTCCTCCCAAGGGTCCTTATAAACAAGCTTTAATGTACATCCTGGCACATTCATTTTTGTGCACATCTGTTAATTTCCTTTTGATCATTTTCCTAAAACTTCCTTTTTAAAAAGGTGGACTGACCGGGCACGGTGACTCACGCTTATAATCCTAGCACTCTGGGAGGCAGAGGAAGGAGGATCACTCAAGGTCAGGACTTCTAAACCAGCCTAAGCATTGAGACAACTGAATAAGTAGGAAAAAAAAAAAAGAAGAAGAAAAGAAACCAGCCTGAGTAAAAGCAAGACCCCGTCTCTACTATAAATAGAAAGAAATTAATTGGCTAACTAAAAATACATATAGAAAAAATTAGCCAGGCATGGTGGCACATGCCTGTAGTCCCAGCTACTTGGAGGCTGAGGCAGTAGGATTGCTTGAGCCCAGGAGTTTGAAGTTGCTGTGAGCTAGGCTGATGCCACAGCACTCTAGCTGGGGCAACAGAGTGAGACT